ATCTGTAGTTATAAATATTGACTATTTTTTATTGTTCCAATTGATTAGTGAAAGTTAAAGTAATGGTTGGTCTATTTGAAACAACAGGTTTGGGATATCTGTAATGCTCTAACTGAAGGTTGAGGGGGGAAAATAACTTATAGGGCAGTTTGATTTTTAGAGTGGGCTTTACAGGGAGAAAAAATAATAATAATAGTAATGGGCTGATCTCCTAGAGAAGATGTAGAAGATTTACTATGTGAGAGAAAAGATGGAGTTACATAGAGTAAGGTGAAAACATATTGGCACTGTAAAGCTAAGAAAAATATAAAATACTATGTCTAAGTTTGCAAGTATATGGGATTTTGAAAGCTAAAAAGGTGAAGGAATATCTTAAAGGGACCAAACTGTTATTATACAAGAAATATGTGCCCAAATTAGAACTGTTAAACTGTTGAAACACCTGTTTCTTTCCCTTTCTATTTTTATGATTATAAAACGAATTAATAATAGGGTAGCATAGATAAAATGAAATATAGCAGATAGGATATATAAAAATGAACTATATTTGGGAATAGAATTTTGATTAATGATATTTGTTGTGGAATATAAAGTTAAACAAGGAGGGAAAAAGAACTATGTATCTAAAGATGTTGTGAGCGAGACAATGTCTAGATATCTTAAAAATGTATTGCTCTTTCTGTTGTTTTGTTTTGTGTAATCCTTAAAAACTAATAAACTTTGCCCATTTGGGCAAGTATTTAAAAAAAAAAGGTCAGATGGTGGCAGAGAGAAAGAAAAGCCTCTCTAGGTAGCCCCTTCCGGGTCTCCTGCCCGCCGGGGGCTGAGTAGGCTAAGGAGCGGGACCCCGTCTGGGTCACCTGCCTGCCGGGGGTCGATAGGAACACGGGGTGCCCCTTCCGGGTCTCCTTCCGGGAAAACCTTGGAGGGCAGGGTGGAGCAGGGCCTGCAGTCCTGAGCAGGCCTGTTCTGCCACAGTTCCTAAGGTGCCACTGGACTCGAACCTAACTCTTCTGCTGCAGACCAACAGGGCCACCCTCTGAAACTACATTTAAACTAGGGGAACAGGCTGCTTTCACACATGCGAAATAATGCAGTTTTAATCCACTTCAGCAACCATTTGCAAGTGGATTTTGCCCTTTCACACAGTAAAATCCAGTTGCAGAGTTCACTGAGAGTGGATTGAAAATGAGTTATTTAGTGTGTGTGTGTGAAAGCGATATTCGGTCATGACATTGTGAGCCTATATGTATCTTTATGGCCTTCTTTCCTCCCGTTTTTTCTCTCTCTCTCTCCTGTAGTCTGTATCCGTTTGCCCAGTGTTCCATCAAGACATAACTGATCGTTGCAAAAGGGTCCAAAAAACCAAACAGATTTTTAAAAAGCTGTTTACATGTAGCTGCATGGCAGTGTTTCTACTCAAGTATTCACTGTGTTTTCAGAGTGCCAGAGATGGGCAGGAGAGGGAGAAAAGTGGCTCTGCAAAAGTGTTTGCGTGGCGCCCGCCAAGCGCCAAGGCAGAAATCCCGCCAGGTGCGTGCAGGTTAAGGAACTCATCGGCATAAATGGTTCCCCACAGTAATATCAGTAGCCATCAAAATAAACCTTTAGATCAGCATTGCCATTCTAGATGTGAGAAAAATGAAATTTTGCTGTTTGTTGCAGCACAGCCAATACAGGAATTTTTGCAGACGGGCGGGAGAAAGAAATGCAGATCGAAGAAACATCCCGAGGTTTCACTTTCATTATTTTATACGGACAAAGGGAAGAAAGTAGGTGGGTGCTCCAACGTGGTGAGAATCGGATTATGCAGAAATTTGTCTTGTGTGTGATTTAGGGGTGGATGGGCAGGGCACAAGAAAATTCGGTAATGTGGGGCCATCTCCTCCCCTCCTCGTGTAAGGTTGCCAGATCCAGGCTGGGATAAGATTGGGGGATGGAGCCTGGGGAGGACAGGGACCTCACTGGGGTACAATGCCACGGAGTCCACCCTCCAAAGCATCCATTCTCTCCGGGGGAACTGATCTCTGCAGTGTGGAGATGAGGTGTAATTCCAGGGAATCCCCAGGTCTCATCTGGACACTGGCGTACCTATTCTCGTGCCTTTGTACAAGCTGAAGGCGGTGGGCAGCAGCCCCATAGCTAAGGAGTTGGGGGGGCGAGGGGGCCACAGCCCAGGGCGTCACGGTATCCACCAAGGCAGGGGTCAGCAGCCAAGTAGGGCAGCAGAGAAGTGGGATGGCTCCAGAGACCAGGCAGAGAAGACGCCTCCTTCGCAATGTCCATCCGCGATCATGATGAAGCCGGATGGTGAGAGAGAACAGGACGGGGCGGCTCTGGGCTCCTCGCTGGGCGCACTCCAGCCTAGGTGGTAGCATTGCTTCTGCCGCCGCAGCCAGCGCGGGGCTCACCGGCTGTCTGCCTGCTCCTCCGGTGCAACTGCAGGCTCCCCGGCCACTCGCCTCCTGCCTACCCGCTGCCCTCGCTGGCTCCCTCCATTGCAAGCAAGCGAAAGTGGGGAGGGGAGGGGAGGGAAGGGGGAGGGGGGGGGGGGGAGGGGGAGCGAGCCGGGCTCCTCCGGACCTGGGTGAGGGGGCGTGGCACGGCTGCTTCAGCATTCACCCCAGTCCATCTCCAAGTGGGGGCGCTTGGAAGCCCCGGCTAAATTGTGCGCACAGCGGCTGCGGGGCTCAGCCGGGGCCCCTCCTCTCGTGTGGGTGCGCTACTGCCCTCCCCACCAGCTGTTGTTCGGCTGAGGGCAGCGACGGGGGGAGGGAGGGGGAGCCGAGGATGGGACCCGTAAAAACTGTGGGTGGGAGACATGGGCCCCACGGTAGCTACGGGCCTGGTGTGCAGGCATGCGCTCACCCAGAGCTCTTACCCAGTTCTAGATGTTAATTCTCTCCCTCATAGTTTGAACCGCTGTATTATTCCCTTTAAAAACTTCTGCCCATTTTTCAGGCTTGAAAATTATTACTTTACTGGGGGAGGGGCCGTGGTTCAGTGGCAGAGCATCTGCTTAGTATGCAGAAGGCCCCGGGTTCAATCTCTGGCATCTCCATTAAGGACCAGGTCACAGGTGATGGGAAAGACCTCTGCCTGAGACCCTGGAGAGCCACTGCTAGTCTGACTAGACAATGCTGACCTTGATGGACCGGGGCTCTGATTCACTATAAGGCAGCTCCATACGTGTGTTCATATATATTTTGGGATTCAGACATCTGACCAATTTTTTTCTCTTTGGAATGCCCTGGAAATATAGTAATGCTCTTTAAATGGGAAGAGTGGTCCTCGTGAGACTCACTGAGTACCAGTGGCCAGCTAACGTTGGGTGCAGTCTGCAAACACTTGACCCACTCTCCCCATAACAACCAACCCTTCCTTGTTTTGGCAAGATTTTGCATTCATTTGTGAACAGAAGGGGGTCACAACTCTTCACAAGGGAGAGGGTGTGGGGGGGGCAGAAAGAGGGTATCCCCATGGTAACTTTGTCAGTACACACTGGCAATGGGGCTGTGTTTCTTAATGGGCATCCCATTGAATGTGCAATACCAGCATGTCCAAAGGATCATGCTTTGGGGTTCCAGGATTAAAAACCTGGCAGTAAAAAGCGTGCATATACTTGCAGTCCCACGGCATGATCCTTTGTGCAAAAAACAGACATTTTTTGCTACAAGTAGAACACTGCAGCTTCTTTTTCCTAGGTGCAGTTTACAAAAAATATTCCAAGCCCAAATGCATGAGGAAGGCGATTCCTTTTGTTGTTCTGCCGCAGGAAGAAGAAAGGTGCTCCAGCAAAGAGGTATGGAATTATTCACCTTGCAATGCCTCAGTGCACATTACGGCCAAAGCATTAATATTTCTTCAGATGCCAGGCAGCCTGAGTATACATCACCAATGCAAAATTCTCCACCACCACCCTTTGTCTCCCAAAAGTGGCTCAGCAAATACAGCATCAAGAAACTGAAGTTAGACTTGCCCAGAATCGTTTTCGGGCCTGAGTGTTTGCATCAGAAGCAAATGGTGGAATCTTTGCACAAGAAAGTGTCGGCAAAATACTGCGACATTTTCCCCAGCATCGAAATGGAGGTAAGTGACTTCCCAATAATCTCTTCCAAATGATGTGCTCTGAAAAACCGCTGCCGGTCGAAGCCCCCTTGTCCCCTAAGAAGGCTTTTTTGGGGGGGGAGGTCAAGAACAAAATGGGCAATACTGGGGAGTGACTCCTCATTTCTCAAAGTAACGAGTCACCAGCAGCCCCTGTAAACTGACCCTCAGCTGAAAGACCAAGGGACCACGTCTCCAGCCCTACTGGGTGTTGATCACGAAGTCAACCCTGAGCCCTGACCTGGGTAGCCCAGGCAAGCCCGATCTCATCAGGTCGCAGAAGCTAAGCAGAACCGACCCCAGCAAGAGATAAGAAGGGAGATCTCCAAGGAATACCAGGGCTCAGGACGCAGAGACAGCCTTTCAAGCCACCTCTTTGAAAAACACCCAAGCCCCCTGTAGGGGTTGCCAGAAGTTGCCATGACTTCCAGGCATGCAAGCGTGCACACGCACGCATGCACACACAAATACCCAAAAAAGAAGTCAACCCTGCGAGGTAGGACGCTTGCAAGTTGAATTTCACAAGCAATTAATTGGTAGCTGTAGCCAAACTATGCCCAAGTACTGGTGTTAGATTGGACCCCCGAAACCTAAATAACATCGCAGGAGTACAGTTAATAAGGTTTGTTAAATAGAACGTGTAAAAGTATACAAATACAGAAGCAATGTAAAGTAGGGAAGAAAATAGTAAAACTAAATAGCTAACCTAGGCCACGGTCAGACATGCCATTTGGTGTGGAGGGGAAGCGAGCCTATCCCCCGCCGGTGGAAATTGACACGGCACTGTGCGATCACACATCCTTTGTAGCTGCGGGCTCAGCCAATCACTGCCCAATCAGACGGCATGTTCAGGTGAGTGGGGGTTTTTTTGCCTTTTGTTTCCCATGAGCATAAACGAGGAATCCTGCAGAGCGCAGGGGGTTGGACTAGATAACCTGCAAGGCCCCTTCCAACTCTAACGTTCTATGATTCTATGAATCACACCTCCGCACTGAAGGTTCCGCATGGAGTATGTGATTATGCTCATACTGCTAAGTTAGAGGGGGGAGGGAAACGGCACCGAGTCGGGATGGAATGAGCAGACCACCCCAACGGCACGAGAGTGTGCTTGAGCGATCAGACAGGAGAAAGTCCATCCGTAGCCCATCAGCGAGCATTAGGACCAGCAGGCCCGTAGCAAGCGTGGGGCCCTGGGGGCCCGGCCCCCCCTGCGGATTTTGTGGGCCCCCTCCCCCGCCCGTCGCTCCCCCTGTCCACCCGCTCGCTCGCTCCCCCCTTCCTCGGAGCACTCATAGGGAAAATAGACAGTAGACCTCCTCCGCTCTGCCTGCCTCCGCTGCTCCGCCCCTCCCAGCATAAGGCGGGGTTATCCGCTCCGCCTCTGCTCCTCCAACCTGACCTGCCCAGGCAGAAACTCTTCGCGCCTAAAAACGGCTGCTGCTGCACGCACGTGTTGTGAGCGAAGCTTGCTTGCAGCTGCTGCCCTTCTGGAACTGAGGTGAGTGGCTTCTTGGCATCAGGAAAAGCCCTCCCCCCAGACGGGAGCCACGGGGTTCAGCTCCAGGACCCCCCTTCCCCCCGGCTCCATAGCCCGCCCCGCCCCTTCCCTCCCCACCCCGGTAGAAGAAACGGCAGGTGAGGTGAGTGGCTTCTTGGCATCAGGAAAAGCCCTCCCCCCAGACGGGAGCCACGGGGTTCAGCTCCAGGACCCCCCCTTCCCCCCGGCTCCATAGCC